CAGGTGCCAGGGTAGTTGAGAATAGCTCCCCACTCAACTTTATGGGGGTCACAACTGCAGTGCTGACCTCCTTGTGGTTCTGACTGCTGGGAGCTCCGCTAATGGGTGGGAGGAGGGGCTATACATGGATGGGGGCCAGCCACCCTCTGGTTACCCAGTGTGTGTGGGGAGCAAGAAAAAAATCACACTTTTATGTTTGAAAGTTACTGGTACATTTCTGTAATACCAATATGCTGTCTTGTCTCTGAAGTCATTCACAAAAGTTTGAGATGAACAGGCTGCATCTGGTCGGCCAGCACAGTCACCAGTTCTTGTTTTTGCTGTGTTTGTTCAGCTAACTCTCCTCATAAGCATTCAATCCATTTCTCTATTCCTTCTGAAACAGAGGGTTTCAGGACTATATGCATCTGTTGCATTTGGTTTTATCTTTATTGTAGAAGGTCACTATACTGTTTTTGCCTTGTCCACCATCTTACCACCTCCTCTATCTTTTTCTGATGTTTCCAGTGTCATTCAGTATTTTGTCCATTTGTTGTTGTTGTTGTTGTTATGTGCCGTAGAGTCGGTTCCGACTCGTAGTGATCCTGTACAGGGTTTCAGAGGCTGTAAATCTTTACAGGAGCAGAAAGCCTCATCTTTCTCCTGCGGGACAGCTGGTAGTTTCGAACTGCTGACCTTGCGGTTCACAGCCCGGTTCATAACCACTATGCTACCAGAGCTCATTGTCCATTGTTGTTGTTGTTAAGTGCCGTCGAGTCGGTTCCGACCCATAGCGACCCTGTACAGGGTTTCCGAGGGTGTAAATCTTTACGGGAGTAGAAAGCCTTATCTTTCTCCCGCGGAGCGGCTGGTAGTTTCGAACCGCTGACCTTAAGGTTCGCAGCCCGAGTCCTAACCACTACGCTACCAAACCCTTTAATATTCTGAGCCAAGGCTTAGACATTTTTCTTCAGTTCTTTTAGCTTGAAAAGTGCTGAGTGTGCACTTCCCTTTTGGTTTTCTAACTCCAGGTCTTTGTACATTTCATTATAATACTTGACCTTGTCTTCTCAAGCTGCTCTTTGATATTTTCTGTTCACCTCTTTTATTTCATCATTTCTTTTAGTCATTTTAGCTTCTCTATTCAAGAGCAAGTTTCAGAGTCTTTTCTGACATCCTCTTTAATTTTTTTGTTTTCCCCATGTATGACATTCTTGATGTCATCCAACAAGTCTTCAGATCTTCAGTCAGTAGTGTCTGTTGCTTCAAATCTGTTTTTAAGGTGGTCTCTCAATTCAGGTGTGATATAATCAAAATCATATTTTTATTCTCATGGACTTAATTTAATTTTCTTCACCTTCAGCCCAAATTTGCATATGAGCAATTGATGGTCTGTTTCATAGTCAAATCCTCTGTCCTTATTTTGGCTGTTACGAGCAATTGATGGTCTGTTTCATAGTCAAGTCCCCTGTCCTTATTTTGGTTGACAATATTGATCTTTTCCTCCTTCTCATCCCACAGATATAATAGTTTGATTGCTGTGTATTCTGTCTGGTAAAGTCGATGGATATAGTCTTTTAAGTTGTTTATAAAAGGTATGTGCAATGGAGAAGTCATTGGTCTTGCAGAATTCTGTCATGTGATCTGCAAGATTGTTTTTATCACCAATGCAATATTTTCCAACTACCAGTCCTTCCTCTTTGTTTCCAGACTTCATGTTCCACTCATCAGTAATTATCAGTATATCTTGATTACGTGTTTGATCAATTTCATATTAGAATTTAGTAGAATTCTTCAATTTCATCATCATTTAGTGGATGGTTTATAAATTTGAAAACAGTGGTACTAACTTATCTTCCTTGGTTGGCCTATGAATACTATCCTCTCAGAGACAACAGTGCACTAAAAGATCTTGAACTGTTAGATTTTTGAAGATGAATGTGATGTCCTTCCTCTTGAATGTGTTATTCCTGACATATTTTAGTGAGATTCAGAATCGTCAGTACCAGTTCATTGTAGCTCGCTAATGCCTTTATGTATACCATTTCATTTTTTACAATTTCCAAGTTTTCTAGATTCATACTTTGTATATTCCATGTATTTTGATTATTAATGGATATTTGCATTGGTTTCTCCTCATTTTGAGTTATGCCCCATCAGTAGTAAATGAAGGTCTTGAAAGCTTTATTCCATTCGCATCATCATGGTCAACTTTACTTTGAAGAGGCAGCTCTTCTTCAATGGTATTTTAAGTATGTTCCAACCTGAGGGGTTTATTTTTCATCACTATACCTGATAATGTTTTGCTGATTCATAATGTTTTCTTCCTCTGGCACTTTATCTGACTATGTTCCACTGCTGTTTATAAGGTTTTCAGTGGTTAAGTATTCAGAAGTTGTCTACCTCTCCTTACTAGTCTGTCTTCAGCTGGAAGCTTTGTTGAAACCTGCCCACCACATGTGATCCTTCTTGTCGGGGACCCGCCTCGACATTGGGGTTCAGTTCACGAGGAGAGGATACCTGACGGCGACTCATATATATCAAGAATACACAGAAAGAGACAAAGGAGACAAAGAGAGAGACAAAGAGGC